TATGAGAACTACAGTACACAAGGCTTTAAATTCCAAAGATTTTCTTTGCTTGTAGATTGATATTTACCACAGTCCCTGGGGGAGGGTGTAAGGCCTCCAGCGACCCAGGATCCAGTTTCAGAGACTTCTTAATTAGGTCAGTGAATGTGGCCAAGTTACACGGCCCGTCCATGCTTTGTTTTCCATCCATAAAGCGAACAATATAAAAACTCTCTTGAGCAAGAAGAGGAACCCCTCCCACAGCTCCAGGAGACCCCTGTGCAGATTTCACCTGGGGTCTGCAGGGCCTGAAGGGTGGCTCTCCCACTGGCAACCCTGCCCCCAGGGCATCGCCCCACCCCATTGTCTCCGCCTTTCCCGGCGGACGCTGGGATCTCTCTACTAGCTTTGGAAGGTCGCGGCTGTAGCGTCCTCCTGACGTCACCACGTGGATCTCCTTGCTCCTGTTTCTCAGCCCATTCCGCGGCCCGCCGGTTGCCCTCCTGCCTGGAAACGGTAGTGCGCTCCCGGAAACGGAAGTGAACGCAGCACTCCGCGTGCGTCCGCGTGCAGGCCCGCCTCCTTCCACATCAACCAGCCTAAGGTTGCTCCCACCAGACTAGGAGAAACGGAGTAGGGATGGGGTCAAAGGGCAGCGTCCTGCAGGTCGCCTCCTCCTGCGGCCTTCCCGGACTTCGCGCCTGGGACCTCCTGCTGCTGCCGCACTTCTTCCGAGACTCCCACCTGCCCCGCTAGAGGCTTGGGTCCAGGTAAAAGGCGGGTCGGGAGTGCGAGCAGGGAGCTTCGGTGGGACCTTTTTCGTCCGCGCGCTCCCCTTTCCCAGGCCTCTTCATCAGCCTTTGCAGACTTTCTGCAGAAGGAAGAAAATCTTTGCTGGAGTCCTGGTTAGACTTCCCCGACCAGGGGATTCCAGCCACTTTGAGTGAACACTGGGTGAATTTGTACTTTTGGGGGATGTTCTTTATGTTTGGTAAATTATGTACAGGTGGAGAGATTAGAAACTCATTATTAGGGAGTACAGGCATCTGACACAATTAAATGCATGGGTGAATGAATGCATGTAAATGCAAATTTTACT